GATACGATTCCATGAGGCAGTTAACATATCGCCAAACCAGTTTCCCTAGAAAATTGATCCGCTCTCATAACACTGAAACTGAGACTCTCTTCACAATTCCGTTCGCCTGGAGCACGAAGATCAGTTTTGAGAAGGTTCAAACGACTCGCTGCTTGGCATTAACGCAGAGACGTGGACCCCGCGGGCCCGGCCTGCACAACGGGCGCGCCCTCCACCACGTCCGCGTGGTCGCCGTGTTACAATGAGGGGCGAGCTTCACGAGGGCTCCCGAGGCCACGGGTCTCAAGTGGTGGCGCTCCTCATGGGGCCAGCCCTGAGGCTGGGCACATTTACTCTGGTCTGACTCTGACATCTGGGGCACAGAGGCCACGTGCCCAGAGGTGGCACCGGATTCGGCAGTGAGGGGGTGACAGTACTTACTCCGGGGACCCTGAGCACCGCTGCCCGTCATCTGCGGGTCAGTGCGGCGGCAGGCCAAGCACACTGCGCTGTCCCTGTGAGTCCAGGCCTGGCCTGTGGAGGACCATGTGAGTGGGCACAGGACACCCGGCGTCTGTTCCCAGTCCCCGTGGATGGGACCTGGCCTCGTGTTTGTTCCCTCATGTGTGAAATGATGATTATGTAACTAGGAGACGGAGGAGGGGCTCGGTGCGGTCTGGACAGCAAGGAGGTTCTCAGACACGGAGCTTTAGGGCATGAGCGCAGACAGACGTTAGACGGGGAGGCCGGGCATTCAGGGAGAGGAGCGGGCGGGAAGAGGCAGGCAGGACAGACAGCAGGGCGGTGACTGCTGGGGACACAGGCCACGGGGCCTGACTGCGGGACGCGGTCGCCCAGGTCCAGAGGCTGGGCAGCCAGGCGGTAGTTCCACCTGTGGGACAGGGAACGCCTTAGGTTCCCGAACAGAGGGACAGAATCACAGTTTTAGCCAAATATGCAAAGGAAAGAATTTCAGTTTCAATTTCACGATGTATTTTATAGAGTTCTAACTTTGGGGTTTTGAAAAATGGAAGCCCACGTTCTATGACTTCACTATAACTTAATTTTACCTTTTAAAGTTAAAAGCAAAGTATGAAAATGTACTAGGAAACGTTCCCCTTCACTCTTGGCTGACAGTGAAAACAAAAATAGGGAATGAGAAACTGTTTCAGATATGCCCGGAATTTCCGGAAGCTTCTATGACAAATAAAACCTAAACTAAGTGTGTCATTTTTAAGATCAAGTTTTGGATTAAGATCAAGTGTTAAGATCAAGTTTTGGAAACTACTGCGCCAAATGTATATGAAAAATAGAATTCTGCATCTAGATCTATTTCTCAAAAAGGATTTTTAACAGTGTAGCAGTATCCTTAGAGGATTTAGAAACACAGAGCAGGAACCGCCCTTTCTGAGGACCCGGCAAAAAAGCTCTGTCCCCTGCTCAGTGACCACAGAGCCCCCTAAGTGTCCCGGCCAGAACGCACTGCCGTCCACTGCAGCCTCCTGCTGGTCTGAGTGAGTCTGCCGAGAAGGCGACACGTCTCCACATGACAGGGGACACGCCCGGACTGCAGGGAGACAGTATGCGGAGTTCGGAACAGTGGCCCTGCCACTTGCTAGCTGTGGTCCCTGGACACAGTTGCAGAACCCATGACTTGGTTTCCATGTCTATAAAATGTAGCTATCGCAGAGCGCTGCTGCCAGGAGCAAATAAAGCTCAACACACAGAGCAAGCCGTCTGGAAACGTCAGCTACAAAGCAAACCGCAGGGCACTGCTCCTGTGGGACTTGTCACCAGCTTGTTCTGCCCATCGGACCGTGGGATGCTCAGGACGGGCTGCTGTGCTCACTCTGTATTTCGACAGCAGAGCCGGGGCTGCAGGAAGCAGCTGACAGGTGTTTGCTAACCAACAAATGCTGCCGGACTAGGGGATCAGACCCGCCAAGGAACCAAGAAAAGCGACGAAAAGGAGACGGCCCGCCCATCCGCAACTTAGACCGAGCCTGTGGGACGGTTCCCCGCGCCTCTGAAGCCAGCCAGGTGCGCTCCCGCCCACGCTCGGGACAAGGGGATGCTCTTTTCCTAAGAGTCCCGGGGGAGGGCCTGGCTTCCTTCCGCCCACTCCTAGGCCACCCCAGAAGGAAGTAGGGAGGCCGCTCGCCCACGTGACGGTTTGTTTACAGTTACCCAGCCGGGTAGCATGTTCGCAGGCGCAGCCAATAGCGGCCCAGCGCCTCTGCTCACCAGTTCCGCGGCGGCCAATCGGGCAGCCGGCCGGCGATGACAGCGGCGGGCTCGGCGCGCAGGGCAGTGCCC